CAAATCCCAAGTGTTTTCAATGACTGATGTGGTTCGCTGAAGAGCTAGCATCCTTTTCTGGCACCGCCCATCAGCTCTCTTTCTGAGTTTTTCGGCTGTGTTTTGTAGGACAGTAATGTACTGACTACCATATGCGCAGTGGCAGGCCCGCTAGCTATCCTCGTTAACTCTCGTTAGAGACTGGGGTCCACTAAGCAGCTGCGGCCCGCTCTCACGCTCAGCTGGTAGTTTTCTACACCCACCTACATACACCAGCCTATTTCTTCTCAGATGCTCAAAACCACATCATCATTTCTTTCTGCGTGTTCTGTGTAGGCTGTGTTACTAACTCCATGCGCCACTTGAGGAGCAGCACTGTTAATTGGAACGCAACAGTGAATCGTCCCAAGCCGATGCTTCGAAACTTTATAATATTCAATTCGTAAATAGAATATTGAAAGAAGTTCCTTGCTCGTGATGAAAATCGAACCCACGACCTTGCGGTCGGGAGACGGACGCTCTTCCACTGCGCCAATACTGGCTTCCATCCATGTAAACAAAGCCAAGAATGAATATATCGATCTAGAATATCGATCAAAAATTTACATTTCCAATGATTGAATGCCCAGTACCTACTGCACTTTCTTGCTCGACTAAAATCTCCTCAGTAGATTTTTATCCAACGAGAATGTGAAAAACAAAAATTCAACATGAATTCTGTTGAATATTTAGAGTCGAAATTGAAAATACGAACGTTTTTGTTTCATATTCCATCATGGAACCAATCAGTGCGAAAGTGCGAATTGAAGAGCAGGTCTCATGGCATTTTGTCTACTACCCAGACGGCACCTCATATTCCTGGAATATGCCTACTACATCCAATTTTCCAATGAATATTGCATTATCCCTGGAATATTCCATGAATATGTGCTTGATCTAATATCCTCAAAGAATATTCCTGGAATATATTTTTCGAATATTCATTAGATACCCCCAAAGAATATTCCCTGAATATGTTTATCGAATATCCATTGAATATGCTTTCCGAAAATTCCAGGAATATTTCAAAAGCAGATTGTCGGAATGTCGACCTATGCCGAATGGACACGACACGAGTCTGTCGGTCATTGCCTTTTGTTCCACATTCCACAGTCACCTAGTGAAGGACGTGATATCAACATGGACGCGAATATGCCGCGATTGTTTTTATTATAAACAGACCAGAAGAACATGGAATTATTAGTTTGAGCAGAAGTGCTAGAATGTGTATCGATTACTGTGAATAGTGTTGACATCTAATATAAAGTTTCAGACGTTTGAAGTTATAGTAACAATTCAAAAATGGAACATTAACTTAGGATGCACTTCTCTTTTGGCCGCCATCAAACTGAAGTGGATCAGAAAGGAGACTCAATGGCACTCAATACCAGTATGAGGTATATACCTTAGATTATACATTAATGGATTCATGTACAGAGTGTATATCTATATAACATCGAAAAAATGAAAGGGGTGATTCTGTGATGAGAATGAAGGTATTTGATATAGAATTTTTTGATAACCCTCTCAACCCCGGATAAGTTACACACATCCGAAGATTAAAAAAATCATGGTTTTTATTTTTTAACTTTCCTGTATATTTAGTTAAAGACACGAAACTTGGTAAATATCATGTGTCAATAAAACTACACATTTTGAAATGTTTTACACCCTGAAGTATGCTTAGAAGGGGTTGAAATATATTAATTTACAACTTTTAAAAACACAGCTGAAAAGCCCAATCCATCCACTTACTTATTGTTGGTCTCTGGAAAAGCATTCGATATGTGTTTTTTTTTAAATTGTTTATAAAAAAAAAGTTTAAAAAAAATATCTTAGGCATTGAATATTTCAAGCCCTTCTAAGCATACTTCAGGGTTAAAAACATTCCAAAATGGGTAGTTTTAATAATGAATAATATCAACAAGTTCTGTGCCTTTAGTCATATACAGAGGAAATGAAAAAGAAAAACCATTTTTCTAATTTTGAGAAGGGTGTTACTATTCCGTGAAGAGATTTTTCAAAAAAATGCATACCAAACGCCCACTTCAATTTTCATCACGAAATCACCACTTGAAATTTTTTTCTGTTATTTAGATACACCCTGTAGATGCACCTGATTTTTTTCAGTACTCACCTATATCTACTCATCTGTCAAATGGAAAATCCAGGCAATACTCGTGTTGTTGAAGATACGACAAACGTGACAAAGAAATTAACAATAGATTGAAATCAGCTCTGATTAACTCAGATGTTGACAAATTCAGTATCTAGTTCTTTCAACTTTTGTAGCACGCCCAAAGCAAAGGTGGGTGAATTCAATCAATTTTTATATTCTAGTATTTGCTACCCAGCCAGCACAAAGAGGTCCTAAAGATATCTTGAAGAAATCCTTTTAGGAAATTGTGATGCCTTTTGTAACTTCTTTGAGATATCGCCGAGAGTGCTATATCTAGGCCAAATGTCCGCCACCTAGGCTGAGCTCAGCGAGGTCTTGAAGATATCGCACGCAGAAATTCTCATATATACAATGCCCTCAGGCGCGCACTTTGAGATATACGCTTCCATCGCCACTGGCGATAACTGAAAGTGCTCGCAATCATGAGCTGTTTGAGAAATTCGCATACATTGCTTTGTGACGAGGACATTGGGAGATTCGCATCAATTGCTTCTGTCGAGGTCTTTAAGTGCTCGCGACTACGAGCTGTTTGAGATTTTCGCACGCATCGCCTTGTGAAGAGAACTTTGGGAAATTCGCATCAATTACTAATAGCGAACTCTTCAAGTGCTCGCAACTATGAATTGTTCAATAATCCGTGCACATCACCATATGAAGAGGCCTTTAAGAGCGATATTTGCATCAATCGCCACATGATCGCCACTAATATGGTAAGGTGTTCAATGTTTGAGAAGTCATTGGTTATCAGCAGTCTCCTGTCGGCGAAGTCTAACTAGCGCCAGCTATATTGTTTGGGGTGGAGTTAAATTTAGATCAACGTAATGAGCTTTAATTATATATTATTCTATAGCAAGACATTGATCAAGTGAACTTTATCACTTGAAAAAATCTCCGAGGAGTTGGCCGGGTATCCTTTAAAAAAAAGGTCGTCCGATATCTACCCACGAATTTGAGGTAGATATTTGATTCTCGATCCCACCTGAATTAGAACATTTTTGTCTTTTTCGCCAGAGCAGATAATTAATTATCATTAATTCACTGCAAAATTTGAAATAATCAGTAAGAAAATCTAGTATATCTAGTATACAATTATTATTATCATAGATTAATGACTCCCATTGAATTTTGTTCATTAATAACAACATTAACAATAAAATTTTTTGAGCTCATTCACGTTACATCGATTGAAAATTGCCTCCTCCCATGTTCGTAAAAATTTCCCACAATGACATTAGATTAATTATTGCACTAGGTAGGTACCGTCTGCAATGATTGATGTTCTGCAGTTCAAAAAGGAATATCTGTCATTAATATTTTGAAACAAAAATGCAATCCATACTTCTTATTTGTGAACTTCTTGAACACATGGATGAAAGCAATTTGTCATTTGAGTAACGTAAAAAAGTCACAAAATGTTCATGTTTTTGTTGTTATCAAGAACAAAACACCAAGTATGTGCTATATCGTTGTATTCCAAATAGATTGACACGCAATTTTCAGAGACAATATGCTACTAGATCAGTATCTACCATCCGGGGGCTGCCAAATATATCACATTCTTCATAAGCCATTAGGAAGGTTATTTAATGCCATTTTTATTGCAGTTTTTTAATGCTTTTGATATCTTGACAAATAGGCGAGATATTGCCTGTAAACGATAACTTGGGACACCCAGTATTTGAATTATAAAGGCTATTGAAAAAAAACAACTCAATATTTTTGTAGGAATATTCATTAATTATTCAGGTTATGTTTGTGATTACTTTAGGAGCTCGCAATGGGAAATTCTCGATCTTGTTACGTCCAGGATATCCTTGGGTGCTCGCAGAAAGAAATGCCTATTCATTTCCTGTTATAGATAACCTCAAGGATTCGCAATAATGAGGAATATATCAAATCTGAGGCGAGATCTCCGCGATTTCTTTCGGACGACTTCAGAGAGTATTTCCCATGGTGACAGCCTATAGTGATCTTTGATACCTCGCAGAAGGATTTCGCATTTTGATCCTGAAGATAACTACTTAGAGATATCGCGGAGAATACCGTGTTACCTGGGTATGTTATAATCATTGCAGATTCTGTTGAATTCATCACCGCTACCGTTCAAGAGAAGAAGAAAATCATATGATATGATATATAAAGTGCAAGCTCCAAGTATTTTACAAACCTACATCCTGTTTATTGTTGATTTCTATCTTTTACATAATAAATTACATTTCATGTAGATATTTCATTCTATTAATGATTGAAAAGCATATTCTATGCATATACAAAAAACATATTCCTAATATATGCCACCAATCTCTTTTGGAAGATTCACAGATATTCCTGGCATATGTTTCATGGTGACTTTGGATATTCCTGGAATATGCATATCATATGTTTTGGAGGACATGGAATATCCATGGCATATGGCAATATCCCAACGCAATATGCATAGGATATTCATGGAATATGATTGTGCCGTCTGGGTAAGTTCCTATAGAGAAACATCGCTGCCAAATTTCAGCAGTTTACGATGGATCATTTCTGTAATATCGGATATCAAAGTTATATATAGCAATTTCACATTATGCCCAGTATCTTCGATGTGAATGTGAAAACAAAATTTTATATATTATACATCAACTCGTATTGACTTTCCCTATCCACCATTTGGCTGTGTCAGTCTTCACATGAATCATCAAGTATGAACGTTCGAGCAATATCTATTCATGAGTGTATTATATTTGTATCGAAGTTGATTGATTTATCGAATTGAAAACAAGAGTATTTCTCCTCTTCAGTTCCTTCCTGATTTCAGGGTGAATCATCTGGATATTGCTCCTGAATTTGCTGGAACCATTTGTGGGGTGGCATTGACCCTTGCTGTCATTCCTGGTATCGTTAGCCCCATTCTCACTGGATATATCGTGACTGATGAGGTGAGTATTTTTCTAAAATCAAGAATCATACATCTTCAATGGGCGTGTACACCTCAGTAGAACTTTTAACTCAAACCATGTTTATAATGATCCTTTTATACATAAATAATGATTGACGACATAATTCGATCGAAAAATTAACTGGAATATTTTATTTTCGGACATAACTAATAGTACCTCCTGAAAACGGACCCTCTCATGACGTAGAAACCCCATCTCGCCATAGTTGAAAGAAAATACCAAACGCTCGACGGAGACAACTGATATATTAATTCTTCAAAATGTTATCTCGCGCTAATTCACTCTGTCAGAAATTATGTGTCGTTCATCTCTGCCCGAAATAGTCTTGTTTCAGTATTAGGGTTTGGCGTCACATCATCGCCTCGTTTTCAGAGGTCCGTAAAATCGGGTATTTCAATAATTTCTTATAAAACGTAGGGAGCTCACAGCAAGAAGCGGTTTGCGGTGGTGAGCTAATTTGGGTGAGTTCTATCGAATTATGAGATAATTTTTTTTGTGATATTAGCACATTCCTAAATATATATCCAGAATGCAATGTAGGAAATTCGAAACTGAGAATTCTTGCTCATTGTTGTTGGTATATAATAGTCATTTATGTATTAAGGGAATTATGAGGGCCTCAATTACCGATGGCAAAGTTTGCGTCCCGAGGGCCTCTGGCCCGAGGGACAGCAATTGCCTGAGGTTATTGAGGCTCAGTAATTCCCGTGATACATAGATAATTTTATTTCTGACTGATTTCATTCATTAGATACCTTCCCGATTGGAAGTTAGACATGTTTTTCCATATAGTTTCAATGTCATCAGAACGTCAGATGATGATCTTGACTACCGCGAATAGGAGATTCCTTATTGCTACGTTATTGCGTGGTTTTTGCTATGCATTTCTCATTTAATTTAAGCTAGAGGGAATTATAGCATCTATAACATCCCAAGGGAGTTATGACCCTCATAATAAATATCGTAACTATGACGATATAAGCTTATAATGTCACTGTCAGAAATAAAAAACTTTTTCACGCAGATATCAGATGAATAAATCAGAAGGTCAAGCCAAGTTCGGCTTATCGTTAATACCGAACTTGCATCTTGACTCTGATTGGCCTGTCTAGAACAAGATTTTCAATGTTTATGTGGCGCAGTTGAACGTCAAAAAAATAGAGTATCAACGCTGTGCACGTATTTGGAAGATAACATTCTCAACTCAGTGAATAACATCACGAAAAACGATATAGCAATCAAGAAATAACAAATTTGACTAGTACAAGCGATTGTTCAAATCAACAAGATTGGGGCTATCGTACCATATGGGGTGATCCATCTAAAGACTTCACCAAGTAGTCCAGTAGAGGATTATACTGGGTGGTCCCGTAATCACATCCATCGCGGGAGTTTTGGTGATGTTAAATTATTGCTGACTTTTTTTTCAGGATTCCTTTGGTTTTCCCCATAAAACTGATCTCCCCATTTTAGATTTTGTCCACTCCGGATAGATTGAATTCAGTTCGTCTCAATGCTTCGTGGAATGGTTTTGTACAATTTGAAATTGACATAATCATATTTTGTTCATTATAGTAGGATATTACGAGTGTGTCGTTATTCCTCTGATGTACGAAAACTAGTTAGATTTCAGAATTGAATAGTGTTGCCTCCGATGAGTTTGGTTGACCTCATGATCACCTGGTCTATACCCAAGTGTGACTTGAAAACTGGTTATTAGTGAATTTGATTGAATAGGAATTCAATCAGGAAATGATTTTTCTATTATTGACTAATACCACCTCAGCTCAGATATGCTGCTACTTGGTAATCAGTTCAGATAATTAAATTACCATGCGCTCATATACCGAACCCTCCCATCTCCACTGAGACGCTAACCAAGGACCTTTGACCTTTGTGATAATTTCGAGGTTACAGCGTGATTTGGACTATCACTTATCATTTTTTTTGTCCAAGTGAACTTGACATTTCGATCAAAATTGTCTCAAGAAACAGCATCCTCGAAGGCCATTTTTTTGTAAAACTAAATCAACCCAACAAAACTTACAAAGAATGCATTAGTGGAATTTGATGAAACAATTGAAAGTCCCAAATACGAGAAGCATATCCACCGGTAGGACATATTCTATGGATAATCAGTGAAAAAATATGTATTCATATAATTCGAGACGTTTCGCCTAAGCATTGGCTGTTTTAATAGCCTCGACTAAACGCCTTGGCTATAAAATGCCAGCCAGGGCATCAAATCTTTTGTGTTTCTGCCTAAGAAAACAAATACCTATCTCTCATTCATCAGGTAGGCGAATCAATAAAACTGATTTATTGATTTCAGGAAAGCACTGATGAGTGGAAAATTGTATTCTACATATCTGCCTGTATCTACCTAATCGGCATTATTTTTTACGTCTCATTTGCTTCCGGGGAACTCCAGCCATGGGCGATGAAGATCGATTCATCAAAAGAAACCCATGAAGAGGAATCAAGAGGTGAAACTTGCGAAGGATCCGTTAACAGAAGCTTCCAGGATGAGCAGATATCTTCAAACGTATAATAGAGTGGAGTCAGGGATCATGGACTGCCGTTTATCTTTCGAGTTATTTCGGGAAGTATCTAACGATTATATGAATTCGAAATGGTGATGGTGTAGCCAGAAGATTTATTAGATCGGATTATGATAACAAACTTAGATAGATATGAACGAATGATAATATTTTGGATAATTGAAAGGAACTGTATTTCAATTGGTCAAAAATATGGTGGAGTAATAGGAAATACTTATAGCAGCTATATCTGATGTCTACTAATGACAAAATAGGAGATGTAGTTATCGTTCTCAGCATCGGTACACACAGTTCGTGTACCCATAGCTTCCATCTTGAGCTTTGAATCCACTATTCATATCCACTTTATTGGATGAAAGCAGGGATATATCCATTATTCTGCTCTTTACCCCTATAGTTGTGCTTTTTTTATCCCCACATTCCACTCCTTACTTTGTGGAGCTCTGTTTCGCATTGTTTTTCTCCTTGTTGATTCTTCAAAGTATTCAATGATCAAGTTGGGTTATTTGAAAAACTATTTCATGATTGCCGCCTCTATTATTTCAGAGTTGAGAAATACAAATTATCCAAAACGAGCGCTATCTCTATATTGAACCTTTCATGCAACATTCATCTACTCAGCTGATCAATAATATGAAATGAAATCATTTTCGAAAGTGTTTGAAACATACATTGAAAAAAATCACCTGAAAATGTCGTGAGCACGAAAATGTCATCAACTATTTGAACTGTCAGAAACGATAGATACCAATAGAATTAACACACTTGTAGAGGAATTATTTTTTTTTTCTATCAATGTTCTGGTTCCCACGAGAAGGGATATAGAGTTATTTTCAGAGAACATCGTGAGAACCAAGGAAAATAAAGTAGGAATTGGTGTTCTTCTTGACTCAATGAAATGATATATCATCTCAAACTGGAATAGATCACGCTTGTAGTTTTGTCAAAAATAGGGTATTCAATATTATCGGATATATTCCATGATCTCCAACTCTACTCTTATAATAAGAATAATACTCATTGTCTGCTCTTTCGAATTGAATTGATTTGTGATTTTTTTATTGAAGTTATGATATGCAAACTCTTACAGAGTATATACTGAAATGAGAAATATTCGAATAGTGCTCCGTGAGAACATGTATGTTTATATTATTTTATGAGGGCGAGTTCAATATAATATACGATTATTCCATAATCAACCATATGTACATAATATATTGATTCAAATATATTCAGGTTGAGTGAATATCGATAAAAATATGCGCCGAGAAAAACGGTCCATCAGATGCACTGGTATACTATATTTTATTCTTCAGCGATGAAGATGAAAAAGTGGAATTGAAATTAACTTTCATACTCATTGAAAGTCACTCTCTCCCACTTCGACTATCATCGGAAGTGGACAATAATTCTTTATACGATATGTCAACAATTATTCCAGACAGCACTGGAAATTCCTAGAATATTCTCTAAATATGCTAAAAAGGAGGAGTATATTCCGAATATTCATCGATTATTCCTAGAATATATACAATTATACATGCCTCTGAAACATCTAGAAGGAATATTCCAAAGTGAATAGTCGGATATGTTCAGGAAATTCTCTGTTGTATATTTATGAAATATTCCCAACTGAATGTTCTGTGGGGTATATTCATGAAATATTCTCAACTGAATATTCTGTGCGGTAAATTCATGAAATATTCTCAACTGAATATTCTATTGTGTATATTCATGGAATATTCCATGAATATTCCTATGTTTCTCAACACATAAATACCAATCATTATTTCAGAGAAGTGAGTATCAAACATCAATTAGATGTAAGGGGATTTTGAAACAAAAAATGTTCATGATCCGATTTCGAACAACGCTCTCAGAAGAAATTGATATGTACAACATAATTCAATTCGATTACTGGCTTAGTGGTCAATGCGTTGGTCTGATAGTCTTGAGGTCACGAGTTCGATCCCTACTTGGGTCACTTTTTTTTATTTTAGAATATGTTTATTGGAATATTCCAGGAACTTTCAACATAGAATATCCTTTTGGGTATATTCTTTGAATATCTGAGGAATTCTCATTCGCATATTTAGAGAATATTCCACATATATTCCGGAATATTTCAGATTATTTCTAGAATATTCCAATATTCCGAAAGGAATATGATAGGGAGATTCATGGAATATCTGGTGCTGTCTGGGATGTTCTGTTCTGGAAGAGTGATGTTTATCATTATCTTCTTCAAAAGAATAACAAACTGAGAATTTTCACGAATCTGATATAGCATCTGTTCAAAAGCTCCCTTGCATGACTTGAAATCTCAATTGTACTAGCGAGAACGTATTCATACTTCACAAATGCTAGGATCATAATGGAGGCGTGGGCACCCGAGTAAAATATCGGAGATGTCCGAACTGAGGAAAGAGGTATAACCACAGGTGGAATGTCACATGCACCAATCGACTATATAGATAATTCAATAATATGGTGAGTATTCATTAACCTAGCACTAGTTTAGTGTTCACTTATAATTAGCGACCTCAAAATACTTATCGATTTGGTTGATCACTTACAGCAGAACCATTGTTTCAGAAATATTGTTTTGCCTACTGCAAGTACCATATTTTACTACCGTTGGTGGAATTGTTTTCAATAATAAAGATGATGGAAATCCCTAATTTCGATTGACAACGGAAAATAAAAAAAACTCCACCGCCTCGCCTGAGACTTGAACTCACAGCCTCTGTGTTACATGCTCAACCCTCTGCCAATTGAGGTAACAGGACATCCATCGATCAATCGTCAAATAGGTCGAGTTCTGATCACACACCAGGCGACAGAATCCTTCCAATTCCCGAAGTCACTCGGAATCATGCACTATATGAAGTATCGTTGGCAGTATCGAACCCTAAAGTCTCCTTTTTTTCCCGTTCGTCCTCTGGTATTGTCTTTTCTCGTATACGCGAATGTCCGCAAGCAATCTATACATAGGAGTGAGTGATAATTTCTGTCGGTCACCCGACCGAAGAGATACATATAATAATGAAGATGATGAAAAGCCGTAATTTCGAGTGACAAAGTAAAATGAAAAAACTTCACTGCCCCGCGTGAGCCTTGAACTCGCAACCTCTGGGTTACATGCTCAACGCTCTGCCAATTGAGCTAACGAGACATCCGTCAATCAATCGGCAGGAAGGTCGAGTTCTCATCACACACCAGGCGGCAGAATCCTTCCAATTCTCGAAGTCACTCGAAATCATGCACTATGTAAAGTATGACTGTTCCCTGTTCGTCCTCTGGCATTGTCTTTCCTTGTATACGGAAATGTCTACAAGCATTTTTTCAATATTATGTGTATTCAGGATTCTGCCATCGACATGCTTGCACTTGGTGCCACTACTGCCAAGCAATCAGTGAGGAAGTCAATAGGAGTATCTTCATCTTTTAGACACCATCTGCATTTCGAGTCTTCTACAATTCCGCAACTGTTCAAAGCCAGGAGGGCACTGTCTTCGAGACGAAATTTCAATGTGGAGTCTGAACTGTTTCATTTGAAGCCTTCCTCTAGATATATCCCAGAATCTACACTGTGGAAGTTTCGTTTACCTCTATTGAAGAGTAAATGAAATGAAGAGAAAATGAATTGTTAACACCCTACTGCTCGGAAGTTAGGAGGTTAAGGGCGACTTTTCATATAAACTTCTCTTTTTTTGATGAGCTAAGGATCCAAATCCCATATTTTGAGCCATTAATAAGATAACATCATGTTTATAGCATTTTCCGTAAATCATTGCCCCCAACCGCTACTCAAGGGTAAGGTTTACTCGACCATATCTCTGAAACGGCGATATTCTTCAATGCCTCATTCATTATCATGCTGCCGCCCTCCGATATCTCCTATGATTACACTATCCTTCACAAGATTCTCTTGCTATTTACATCAAATAGTTATCTGTTCACCCCTTTAGGGATGAAGGTGAGTCGTGATGACCTGTCAGAAACAGTTGCGTGACGTAACGGGACATTCAATACTGTAGGGGCTGTCGGTTTATAGCATATAGGTGTTCAGAAAAGACGCGGCTATTTCCAGAGGAGCGATTTCTCAGATCATTTCATTGAAAAAATTGTTCATAAAAAATGTTGGTCCGGAAATGCATTGTTTTCAAGAAACAGTGTGTCGAAATGAAATTTATTGAAAAAATGTACGCCATTTACTCAAATTCCATTTCAATGATTTCCTGAGATGAAGCCCCTCTCGTCTTGGATTTTTCTCACATACTGCCTGGTTCACTAGATGAAAAATGAGAACTTCTCCATTGCATGTTCAGCTACCATACAAAGAATGTACAAAAACTGTTGAGAGTGACCACTTGCAACAATGACATCAGGTCGAATGTTAATCTTCATGCATCTATCTGTCTATGTTCATCTATCTATCAAGTTCCTCAACATAAATCGCTATACAAACTTGAACACCCTTGGAGCCCTTCGAAGGTAGGTCCTTGAATGCAGTTTTCCTTAATCATCTTTGTTATCATTGATCCTAGAAGCACGAAGTATGGTACCTGCTGGTGATTTTATCTTAGAAATCGTTCTGTGATACAAAAAACACATGATTCAATATACAGGGAGGTGCGAAAATTTCAAGATTTATCTCAATATTACACGTTGAATTTTATTCTTCATACACTTCCACATGGAAAAAAGATTTTCGTCAGAATGCCGAAAAACTAACCGTTTTCGAGAAACATGGTAATTCTTCATTTGGATGTATTGAAATTCCACAATGCATGTTTGTGATCATGTGTTTATCGCAAGATGAGAAGATAAGAACTTGACAAATATAACTTAACATCTCTAGTTACTCTCGTTTTATTAGAGTTAATAGTAATGTTAATTTGTTTAGTATATGAGTTTGGGGAATTAGGTCAATTTCCGTTACGGATATTCTGCTGTTGGAAGTACAGAATATTATATAGAACATGTTTCATAAAAATTCTGGAACGTGATAGATGGAATATCGAGATATTTGGTCAAATTAGAAGGAACATTCCGATTTTCATATCAATGAAAAACTTTTCATTACAGCATGTATCGGAGTTATAATCTTAGGTTAGTAACACTAAACCTCATTTTTTCAATTCAATTCTACTCCCATAGTAGAGAGCATCTGGAGACAGGACACACCAAACTAGATTGGCGCATCTCGAGAATAGAGTTGTCAATTCTTCCGCGCATATACACAAAACAAATGGAACTGATATGTTCCCATTAAATGTTGTTGTAACAACAACAACCACTCAAAAAAGGTGAGTAACAAAATGAGGAAGTTTTATTGAAGACACACTATCTCATCTCACCTCACAACTGAAAAAATCATGGTGAATGATAAGAAACGCATGAAGAATGAAGTAGAGATCTAGTGGAGTAATGTTCAGTGATTCCCCGAACTTCGATGATGAACATGCATTTGCTTGAGCATATTGTTCGATCTTGAGTAACTGGAATCAATGACACAAATTAATGCAAATCCGAAGCCGCATTAGCTTCAATGAAATAAGTAACCTGTTTCTCTGTCGCTTTCTAAGAGTATAGGTGAACATGATTTCCTTGTTATGGGAGGAGAAATAATCGAAATAGTTGAACGATTCTCAGTATCGTGTTCAACTTCAGGAGTCGAATCAACTTATTTTTCATCGAGGTTTTGTATAGTTTATTGGGATTTGAACGAAGCTGCTAATATAATAGAAATAGATGAAGTAGTAAGAACAGGAATTTATCACTCAAGGCACTATTCCCAACATGCTAGTGATGGATCAACTTCTATCGATTCTCCAAGCTTAGTTTAACAACTTATTCACCTCCAGATTATACAATACAATGTACCTTACAGCCCTTGAATGATCGATGCGGTCAGTATCATCTATACGGAACTCTATCGTCGCATCTGATCAGTGCTCCTCAAATAGTGGGCCACTTTAGGCAAAAACTTGAAATTTCAACATCTTCCAAAATTCTTTGATATTTTTTTGTATTCTGGTCTACTATCACCCATTTCAAGTATCGCTCCAATTTCAAAAACACCCTGCATGTAGAGCTTAAACTAAATCGATTTTGCGTAGTGAATGACTATCACTGAGATTTCTACTATCTACCCATGGAAGGAGTCATGATCACGATTACTAGTTTCAGGCGACAATTTCATGAGCACTTTTATGATAGTATCTATGACTGAAC